AATGCCTTTGACAAAATACAATTTACGAGCCAGTAAAGAGCATGAAATAAAATAATGATTCTTAAAAATCGCCAATACTACTGTGAGAATGGCAAGTGGTTTTATCAGCAGCCACATAATTTTTTTAAACAAAATATGACATATATATGCATATATAGGGGTAAAATCATCCTTTGAGTTTATTTGTACCATAGTTTGTACAAAATTATGGAGAATGATTGAAATATTTGCAGATTTCGTTTGATGCACATCTCCTTAAAAAACTGTTCGTAAAGAAACGAAGAGCATAAAAGTCCAAATATTTACAAAATGTATTTGATTGAACTCACCATTCATCCTAATTCGACACATGCAATTTTTTAGCAATGTAGCGTTATTGGAAGAATTAACAAATAAATTCATGTTACCTGCGTACTTCCTCGGATGTAAAAGAAAGAGTTCTTACCCGAAACATTTGCAGATGGAATGTGCGAAGGTCAAAAATTCTACTATAGGTGGGGATGAGTATAGATTTGCATACAACTTCTACTTTGTGCCTTAAAAATGTTCCCACGCTTTACTGGAACACCTTGTACACGATTGCTTGCGTTCCTGCAAGTTCGAGCGATTCCCGCGGACATGAAGGTTCAGATCAGGTGATCGACTACCCGTATAACACTTGACTTCCACATTTCACTTTCAAAACTAACAACAATGCTGAATTGAACATTAGCACGGATGCGATGCGGTCAACAACAACACCATTCTCCATACAACTTTCCAACCAGTTGTCGTCTGGTTGGCCTATCCCGCAATGGAGGGCCTCCAACTCTATAGGCGAGTGCAAAGGGAGTCGAGGGTGTATACGAGTATAATGGCAGTAAACTTTCGAAACTCATCAATCTGGATGCGGTCGGTTTCAGTGGCGCCGCTGCGGCTTCAGCAACAATTTTAATTATTCTCAGCTAGGTGCATGACTCAAGTTTCGTACTTTAGGTGGTCGCTAGGGCGTGATTCAGAATAACTAGCGTCTTGTATACGATTTTTCAGATGAGCGCATCCGTAGCAGCGACTATGTTTAGTAAAAAACAACTTGAGAAAAAGGAAAAATAGGAGCCGGCGGGGCTCGAACCAGCATTTCATCTACTGCGCGGAGCCAACCTAGCCAATTAATCTGCAGCACTACCTGCTAACTAGCTTTCAGGATCGACTGTTAGAGGCAAATTGAATCCTCTCCATGATACTATTCGTTTGTTATCTTAGGCTGTATGATGCACCATCTGGCGGCGTTCAGGTGAAACAAGCCGGATGCATAAGGTATCTCCAATTGCTTTCTAGCTACACCTTGCACTGTCACTTGGATGCCGTCAGATTCAATTTGTCCCTAACAGTTAATACTGAAAGTGGTTTGACAGCTGGGCTGGTTAGGGAGGCTTCACAGATTGGAAAAGATGCAGATTCGAATCCCGCTGGTGCCCATTATTCCTTTCTCTCAAGTTCTTCTGAAGGTGCTAGACTCCGTAGTTTTGGTGGTGATCGATACACGGCACTGCGAATTGTTCTCCCTGACGTATGGTGATTGGTATTGCGCCAAGATTCTTATTGCCGCCAACAGCGCCCATGGCGTCACTACACCTTAAAGAAACTGGCACCGTAGAAACAAAGGGTGGCGCGAAACTATATATTTGAATCCCCGTAAAAAAATTTCTACAAGTCACCAGAAGCTTGGAAGACGTCTTCACCAAATTCTGAAAATTTTACAAAATTTTAACTTTTTTTTTTAAACAAAATTATTACCGCGCTCACAAGTATTAGAAGACATTCAAAAACGAACTTCAATCACAATCCGAAATCTTTTCGTTTTTTTTTATAGCTTCGCCGCCACCAAGTTAAACAGACGGTCAAAATTGCTGACTGAAAATGATATGTGACAGACTTTTCGTACTAGAAGTGATCCGCACGCTTTTTATGCAAATGCGATTCTTATGTATCTTCATGTTCCAATGGCCCCTCAAATAATAATAATAATAGTAATAATAACAATAATAATAATAATAATAATAATAATAATAATAATAATAATAATAATTATAATAATAATAATAAACGGTTTTATTGGTGAAATTTAGCAAAGCTAGTCTTATACTCAACCTTTCTAAAAACTAAGGATTAATACTAATTTGACATACCAATATGATAATCTATATATACCGTAAGCGATTGTATGCCTATGGATCTAACTAAGAAAAAAGAATAATGATAATTGATCACAGGCTGAATTCGTAGAAGATGTAGTCTGGGATGCAGTTTGGATCGGATGCTATTACTATTTGATATATCAATATTCCTGCTATAGATGTTAAAGAGAGACACCGCATTATACGTGAAAGACCTATAAAAGAGTGATGTTACATACATAGGCATTGTAAAATCGTTTTGATATCTTATATTGACATTATGTATACTTGCACTAGGGCCCAGCTTTTCTACTAAATATACAGGATTCTTAAAATATAACGCACGATTCAGTGTTGTTAGGTAAAAATATATGAACAAAGAATTGATATTAAGCCATTGTAAAAGCCTGACACTATTAGATGTGTGATGAAATTTACGCAAGTCACAAACAAAACGGAAACAGTTATTCTGCAATCTCTGAAGGCGCATTTAAGTCGAATAGTCGCGGCATGGATAAAAAACTATCAAACCATAACTGGTAATTGATAGCACTAAACTTTCAGCTAGCTTTTTGCTCGTCTTGAAGTTAATAATGCACTTATTGGCATACAGTACTCGCAGTTCCAAATAACACCTCTGAGATATTGTTTTAATGTATATGTATTGTTGGTAACGTGACTTGTCATCTATGATGAAACCAAGTATCTTACAGCTAGTTGAAAAATAAAGTTGTTGTTCATTCAACAAGAGGATCAGAGCACTGCTCAAGTTTTCTCGCTTGTGATCAGAACAGAAAAGCACAAGTTTCGCTTTATCAGGATTTAGTTTCAAATTGTGTTTTTTACAATTATTAGATACTGTTCATGAATAAAACCCCAGAGAAGGTGTTTCAACATATCGGCCTCTACAAATCACACAAATATATTATTTAGTTAATAATAACATAATTCGGCTTCCTTTGTCGGCTTGCGATGCTAACAAAAATTGTACTACACAGGTGTTACCAGTGACTTGTGCTAACACTATGCAGATTGCATCAGTTTAGGATACTTATCAGCAAGACTGTCCTTCAAACGTTCCTCCATGACCTGTATTTTATTGCATTATCCAGCTGTAACAGGCTAGTCAGCAACATAAGGTAATATTTTCAGTATGGCCTGGATATATTGCTTAAAGTTTCTATATCTACACGTTGCAGACAATACTTCCAAGATATAGTCGAGGTACAGCTAATGTAGCCAAGGTATATAGCCGAACCATAATAACTGGTCTATAGCTGCCATAGCTAAGTATAGCAACAAAAATATTGCTCATCCTGCGGCTCCATTAGTACACATTTTGCAATCGCAACTGTCAGTCTCCGATTCTTCACATAATAAACATGCCTACAAAAAATAACAGATAGCATCATAGAGCTCCTACTCAACAAGAATACATTTTACGTTTAAAGCAAAATCATCCGGAATACAATCCCGTAACTTATTCTCGCTTCGGCAACGTTTTGTCCTCGGGAATCGACAGGACTGCCGTTTTGCGAAATAAAATACACGAATTGTGCATTTTCTTCACCAGAGAAACACACCGAACCGAGACGTTATAGATATATCCTCCTCGAACTGTATGGTGTATGCTGTATGCTTTATCCTGCTTCTCCATTCTCCAGCAATTTTATTTGACGTTGGGACACGTTTCGGTTTTTTCATATCTTCCCGATAACCATGGAAAGGCGCCAGATGCTAAGAATTGTTATGCTAGTAATAGTTCGTTCGTATTTATTTTGGTCCATTGACCAAGTAAAATTATTTTCTTTTTACTTATGAGCATATGAATTCTGCTCTTATGGTAATTGTTATGTTCAGCAATATTACCGTTGTCTTGGATTTTATCCGGCGACAAAAAAAGTATGTTTTCGTTCTCGTGAATATCTGGATTCTGAAATCTTGAGATTAGTTTGACCACGTACCTCAAAATGATGAAGTCATTAGTGTACGCAGACAATTATTAAGCAGTGGAAACCAACGACTAGATAACAGGAGCAAGTATGTGATTTGTTTTGATTCACTAAATCGTAATAAGCAGTATGGATGTCAGTGCATACTTACACCGTCCTTTTGACAGTTCTTCATTTTTTTTGGCGAAAACATACAAAAGTGCGTAAACTTCCATACAGTTTTAGTGTTCCGGAAAATTGCCGAGAACGGTGAAAACCTTTATCGATTGCAGTCTAGGCTGAACGAAATATTTTTTTATTCTGTAGATGTTGACAAGCGTGGCTAAAGGACATATATCTCAACATTGGGATACCAAGACGGTTGTGCGAAAGTCTTAATTTTGTTCATTTTATCTGTGTTTTTTTAGTGCAATTGTAATTGCAAAACACTGGAGAAAAACCAGAATTTTATAAATACTGGAAAGGGACAACAGGACCTTCAGCTTTGAGTCTCTGGAAAGAACATTTCTTACGCTTTTATTTAATTTAGCACCAGGAGATTTTATTCAGGAACCTCAGCAGGCCTCAAAAGATTTATTGACATATTAATCTTTTGAGGCCAATTAAATCAGTTCTAGTCCTTTCCATTGGATTAATGTCATGACAATATTGTAACAGCAGTAATTATAATACATAATGCTTAACTAGGTATTTGCTGTTAGACGTGCTCGGACCACACATAATACAGACAGCTATTTATAAAAACAGAATAGGGTTCATGCAAAGTGCTCAAAGTGCTCTACTGTTTCCAATATCCAAGGTATTCCAGCATTGCTGCCGTTTCCCTTCCTTCCTTAAAAATCACGAATTAAGCTGTAATTGTCCATATAATAATAAATAATTACTTGGGTTTGTTTGCCGTTTGCCTTATTTAGTTTATACCTGTTTTAACAATACCTGAATGATTCACATCACAACACAGACAGTATTTCTGCCTTGCTATAAGATAATGCAGCTAGTACAGTAGGTCACTTGGATATCATTTCCAAAAAGGGGTATATGCCTCTGCTTTAACAATACAGTAGTCAAACACCTGCTTGTAAATGCTTAGGCTTTACTAAATACAACATATTCAAATTCATTCAAATCGGGGCAGAAACTTGCTCTGGATGCTCCAAGAGGTGAAAGTGATCTTCCAGATTGAGCTTTCTTCAAACGAGCCATGGCCGCAGTATGCCTGAAACCAATAACGTCACAATGCTTGCAATTTCAATTTCAATGTAAAAAGCTGTTTTATCTTACCATGTTTTATATTCTCTTATTTGTATTTCTTTCCAGATTGCCAGACTGTTCAGTTTTAACCGAAGATCAACGTGACTTGAATAACTGGTGAGTCCAACACATTTTCTCTTACGGCCTGGCCACAGGATATCCGCCATAGCGAATATTTGCGCGGTGCGAACGACGAAGCGTCCAGTGTCTGAAACAAACGCATAGAAATGTACTTAACAGGCCACGCGCAGCGGAGAATGGCGAAATACACCGAGCGAACCACGCGGGCGACTGGTAGCGCGCCGGGTGAGAGAAACGAGAAATAGAGCAAGCCACGAGCAAGTGGCGGTCGCGGCGAATAGCGCAGTGATCAAACGAGCCTAGTCTTTTTTGCCGCGAAAAAAAACTCCGAGGCTTTTATTACTGAAATACTTGTCAGGCTAGCTATTTGGAATTCTCGCCACCCCCAGCACACAAATAAATATCAATATTATTGTGAAGTATTTTAATTTCATGAGATATCAATATACAGAGTGACATTTAATTGGCTAACCATATTTTGGACAGTGATAGTTCCGAAAAAAAAATAGTTATGAAAAAATTCTGTTTGTGACCATATGCTTTTTGAGGAAAGTTGTTCATATTGATGGATACTATCATCCCCCATAATATGCTCAGCTAATTAAATGTCATCCTTTATATAGATAGGTACATACCTTAATGTCAAACACAATTTTTCAGTGGCACTTAAAATTCAATCTGCATTGACTTTTTCCCAATTCCGGTTGAATATTAATAAGAATATGATCCAAGGTTTCGGTACTCATTCTGGTATACTCCAAGCATTTTTTTGGATACATTCTGTATTTCTAGTAGGATTCTCCATCTCTACCCCGGTTCCGATTCCTGTTTAAATCATGTACTCCACAATATCTTACAAATATCATGTCTTGAACCAAAAAAGCTATTACTTCCTAGGCAATATCGAGATAACATTGTTAAAGACATTTTTCTCTCGGCCTACACTGGTCGCGGCGGATCGTCGCCCCGCATCGTCGTTCGCGCCGCCCATCCCCGTGGCCAAGCCGTTATACGTTGCCCTTATAATATACCTACCTATTTCTCACTCGTTTCATCTTCTAAGCGACCCTCTCAGAGACTTTTTTCGCACAAGCAGCATCAAGCTAACCCAGATGCATAAAGATGCAGGTATACCTTAAGCTTTTACCCTTGTAAAACCCTTTACTTTGTCCAGATACCCCATTTTTATCAGAAACATATTCTGTTGGAAAGGTATGCACAGTTAGATTATGTAACAGAACAAAATAATTTTAGTTTGAGTTTTGAAGCATATCCTGAAATGTATTCTCTCTCGATGAATCAACATCTTTTAGAAACAACATATACTTATAAGTTTATCTTTATTTAACTCAAGCTCAAGTGAGTCTTATGGTGATACTTTTTAGAAGTAAAGCTCATTACTTTAGGGGACAGGAAAACCGATTCATTCGTCTTTTTACAATGAGAGTTAAAATCATATACAAAATGGCGTCAAGCACGTGTTGACTCAGCACTTCCCATGCAACGCTGTCATCAGTACATAAACAATTAGTGCTTCGGAGAAAAAAGTTGGCTACGAACAAGGGTCCAACTAGATCAAGTCAGTCAAACAGACCCATACAGTTACTACATTGTCCTCAACTGGTTCACAATGCTACGATCTAGAAAGCTCTTCTCTGTCTTACCGACAGTAGCGACCATCCGACAACGTTGCCGAAGCTCGCCAGTCAGCCATCGGTCAGACCTCTGAAATACGTTTCGTTTGCAAATATCAGTGACGTACTGCTTGCTTCCTAATGATAGAGACTTGCAAGCACAAACATCACTATCTAAGTCCTCAAAAAACAATAAAGCAGCCCTTGAATTTTTGCGACTAAATTCTGTAATACCCGGTACAATTATAAATACTCATCAGCACTCAAGTTGGTCAACGAACAACTATCCTGACATATAAGATCTAAACGTACTGCTTTTTCTTTTGTTGTTCCACCTGAGACCAGCCCTGGCCCGTGGAGATGAGTTGCCAGAAAGCACGGAACAGCTGTACATGGTTACCCATATGTGAAAGTATGTGTAATTGCTCAATGGCGAGAAGACCACATCTACTGTACGGCTATTAAACGCGAACTGAGATCCCTATACCTTCAACCTATAGATGCTATGATTACCGATATATCATTTGATGCCGCTTAAAATTTCACTGTACTAACTGAATGAAAACCTGTAGGAGGAAGAAAATAATTAGGACATCGTACTTTTCACCTCTGGTTGCACTCGTTAAAAAGAGGGTGAACACCGAAAATGGCAGGGAAAAGGTGAAATCGCCTTCGAGGGCTCTCGAATCTATTAAAAATTTTTCAGGCTCCATTTCAGTGTATTAATGAAGAGTGGAAAGTGGCCTAACAGAATTTGCTCTGGAGAGTTACTGCTCGTGTTTTCTGGGGGAAAATTGAGTTTTTCGCTCTTTGGTAGCTAAGAGGTTTAATGTTTTTCTTGTTTGCCTTTTTTTATGGAATAATTGATCCCATGGGTTTTACGTTGAGGGATGCCGTTAAATTTTTAAAGCTGGTTTTACTCCCATTTCATCAGAGGGGTAGGTATTATGGCACGTGTGTTGACAATGACGAAAAAAGACATCGATCAAGTTGTAGTCATGGATGTCTGTCGGTCTATTTATTGTTGTTATACACTGTAGCTCAAAAATAAATACTGCGGCATTAATTTCGTTTTAACTACCTTCCTAAAGTTGTATGAATTGCAGTAGGGAACAGTCATTTGGTGGCATGGTAGTTTGAAGTCAGTGTTCTGTAAGACAAGTGAATACTAGAAAGATATCATATTTGTCAAATTAGCTTCGTTTTTGAAATAACTACGCTATAAAAATCTAAATGAACATAGCAATATGTATTGAAAACTTATCTAATGATGGTCATTTTCTAAGTAAGAACCGATTGCACATCTTGCCTGCGTATGCTGTCACGTGGTGTCCGTTCAACGTCAGACGCTAATGGCCCGTCGTTCTCTACGTTGTCATTACGTTTCAAATCTCTGCAAGTATTGGTTGCGTGGTTATACTTAGCTTTGTTTATCGCCATGTCACACAGTAAATCTGCCGATTGTGAAATGCGCTTAGTAATTCGGCTTTTAAGCGCAAAGAAGTTTGTCTTCCTACAAATGCTGAGAGATGCTCTGAAACATCATTGAAGCTTAGTAGCGCTATCAAGAACCGTTGGAATGGTATGCTCTCTAGTGGCACCTGTCTCCTTCACGTCAACGCTCGGCCTCACGTTGATAATGAATATGTTATATGTGTATAAGGTACGTTGCACCGGCTCTTTAATGCTGGATTACAATTATAAGCTTTCGAACCATTTCGTTATTTTAATTCACAAATTTCTGGTTCAATAAAATAACGAATTTTACTTTGGACATGGCGGGTATAAATAATATACTTGGAACTTGTAACTCTATCCTTGTGTGTCATTCTAGCTTCCAATCATTTTGAGTTACATCTCAGAGTTTGGCATTCTGATAGTAAAGGCAAAGGATACCGGTTGCTAGACCACAAGTAAAGGAAACTATAGGATAAGCTTCTTCTCCGTATGGTGTATCAGTTTATCGGATGCTATCGATCATATTGATTACTACTACTTTGTTTACGGCAGCTCTAAAAAAAATGACACAGTTGCTCAACCGAACCACTGCCGCAGGTTTTTCGGCCAGGACTTTCGGCGTCTTCCTGGTCCTCTCTTACCATTAATCTTCCCTTGCACGACGAATTACAGACTGTTCTATTTTTCGGAATGTATTACAATATGTCCGAAGTATGTTAAATTGGGAGTTTTGGCAATCTTAATAATCGCTGGAGTACTCTTTCATTTCGTATCCTATCAATCCAACAAATGCTTCTACACTTTTCATGGTGGCATGTGTAAGTATCCTAGCTTCTTCTTCATACGACAGAATATGGAACACATAGCATCTTTTTTCATTCTTACACTATATTGAGATCATGACAACAAATGCTAATAAGCTTATACAATAGAAATCCGAAACATAACGGAATATCGAGAGAGAGCTACTATCTAGAGATACTCGAACTGTTAAAACAGGACATATCATTTTATATACTCGTAAACAGTTGGGTAACAATTCATTGGAAATGGTGGTATTTTGAATAAATCCCCCCATTGTCGATATTGGGACTATCGGATGAACTCGGTCTGCGGATATTTATACAAAGTATCCACTCGGAACTAATCGGATTAGGCTGCTCTTGTCGAAAGCAGTTCGAATCCGGGTTCCAGCATGTCCAGCAACCATAGGCGTCCGTGAAAATATCTGTGGTAAGAAATTCGACAATCATCAGCTTGTGCTTTGCTCAAGGTCTTCATATACAGTGCTTTTCTTTAATGTCCCTCTCACCTTTGATTTTTTGAACGGATAAATTCAAAAAATTAGAATTTGAGGTAATGAAATTGATGCGTGGATACCATATTTTAGAGTAACATTGACAGATGAAAATGTCGATGGCCGCTGGGCACCATCTTGGAAAAAAAATTATATGAAAACGGGGGTTTTGTGGCACATCATTTTGAAGCTCCTGACAACTACTTTATAACCCTAGAATATAAAGTCAATACCTTTACCTACTATAAAATGGTGGTACATTTAGTAAGTACTCGAACACAAATCCACTAACATGCATATCACTACAACTGTACAAATGACTGTAGTTCCCTGCCGTATCCACAGCAACAGCGATAAAAACTTGTTTTGTTAGTTTTTGTTGATAGTGATAAGAATATCAGTACGAAAACAAATATCATTGTACAGTTAAAATATTCTTATTTAGTTTTCGGTTTTAGTGCTAGATGTTATTTAAACTATTTTTAAAATGGTCAATTCTCGTCCATTGGAAGAAAAAATTGAAGCGATTTTTATTTATGGTGCGACGCGTAACTTTCACGAGACCGAAAGGATTTTTAATGTCGTTTCCCGAATCGTATTATCTGTAGAAAATATTTAAGGGAACTTGTATCTAAATTTACAGCCACTGGTACCGTAGCCCCCAGGTCATCCGACCATCCCGGAAGAAAAGCAAGTTCAAATAATTGCTGAGATCATAGTAAATCCACAACAGTCTACTTCCTCCATCGCGAATGTATGTGAAGTTTTAAATGAAAATTTAAATGCTAACTGAAGATGACCCAGATCGAAAAATAGAATTCTGCGAGACTATGACGGAAACCATTGCACGGCATCCCACCTATATCCAAAATATTTGTTTTAGTGATGAATGTACACGTTTTGTCAACGGTAATGTGCATAGACAAATTTATCGTTATTGGAGTGATACCAATCCTCACGTCTTCCGGGAAACTCATACGCAATATCCACAAAAAATTAACGTTTGGGCTGGGATATTGGGAAATCATATTGTAAGGCCCCTATTCATCGAACAAACGTTAACTGTATTTAGATATGCTGGAAAATACTATTGACCCTCTAATCACCGAAATCGTCGAAGCGAATCCTAACGAATTCGATACTGATATTGTATTCCAGCAAGATGGTGCTCCACCACACTACTACAGACAAGTTAAGAATTATTTAGATAAAAATTTGCCCGGTCGTTGGACTGGCCTTCGAGGTCCTGTGGAATGGTCAGCTCGCCCGCCAGATTTGACACCTTCAGGCCCAATTTCACCAACAGTAATATTATGGACCAATGGGAAAATACCTTATCGAAATGCAATTTGACAGAAGCTGTCACAGGTCTCTGAATATTAGTGATTTCTATTGAAATATTGAATAAAATCGTGAAAATTTGAATGTATTATAAACAAGATCACTTTTTGATTCCAACATGATGCTTTTGTGCAGAAAAAACAGGACAACTTTCATGTATTTTGATAATATATGTTATAGGTTTACATTTAACAATCCGTTATCCCTCTCAGCGAATGGGAATGCGGCAAATATTAGGTCGATTTTCTAGCTGTTAAATTTGGCAGCAGATTTGGACGTTTGTTAATGCATGGCACTCTCGAATTTACCAACTACAACTGAAAGTTATCATTACATACCTGTTGAATAGTGTGGATTTGTCTGTATTTTGCAAGAAAATAGAATATAAAATACATTCCATCCAATTCCTCATCTTCCTTTACGTCATAATAGTAATATCATTTATTAATTTATGGGTTAATGAATTTCTTCAAAGCAATAAAAACATTAGGTCCTCTCCATCCAAAAACACAGTTAATACGTGTAAGACGTGTCAAACCCGACATCTCCCTGTACTCATGCATAATGCAATTACTATGGAGATAGACAAAAAATTATGAAAAATGTTTCGCAAATGATGTCTTTTAAGTCCAAAAATCATAAAACTAGTAATGTTTATTGTTTGTCTTTTTTTTACTGGCGGGACATCTATCTGTCACTCGCAGGGTTGCCAAGTCTAACGACGATCACGTCCCGTGGTGGAGGGTGCGAAATGAATCTTTTACATTTGCTGGTTTTGAATTTTTTTCGTGAAAATTTACCAGGTATCATGATTATAAGCATCTTTGATAGATTGCTCGATCCGGAATGGGAAAGATCTCCTATTTATGAAAATATTTTTGGTATCATCTAACCGTTGCAATCTGTGACATATGATTTATAGCATAACCCGCTGCTCTATCAATACAAATTTAACATACAGGTCGCCTAGTCCTGGGGCTGCAGTGGTCGGGATGAATATCACGGCAGCAACTGATGACTTGGGCATGTCCGGATCGAAAAATGACGATATTCGTGAAATGTATTGATACTTCTAAATATAGGATCGTATCGAACATCCCTACTGTCAAGATATATAACCCAAGGTACCGACGGAGCTATTTTGCGGCATCATGGAAATAATTTTAAATTTTCATTTGCATTTTTTCAAGTGTTGTGCAATGATTTTGGGAAAAATGTTACGAATAGTCTTATAAAGCATAGTAGAGTATGTTTCAACAGTTGGCGGAACTTACTCCACTGGGACCAGGATGGTAAAACGGGATATTAATGCACAATCTGGCAACCCTGTCGCACCCTCACAAGATGGCCGCTGGCAACCACACAAGTCACCGTGCTGTCATTGAATAGCATGGAATTAAACCTTCAAAGTATATGTTTTGTGACTGGTACCAAGACTTGACAGATCCCACACATGTGTCACTCCTTGAAATGCAATAATCAGCTGTATTCAAATAATGTCAAATAATGTCTAATATGAATATAACCTAGAATGTGTACTCATGGAAAAAGAAAAATATGGCAAATTTGTAGTTTTTTTGCAGGTTTTAGGTTTGCTAGCAGCTTTAAGGCATATATTTGGGAATTTCTTAATCGCTGTGAATATAGTGTGAATGTTTGTTCAGTTCCTGAACAACGAAAAATATTCAACTTTATGGATGTATGGATATCAAAAAACCTGAATGGTTTTGTGGGAATATCAATCTAAGGTGCCATAATGGTTCAGATGAACGGCAAGTAAATGAATGAATGTTTGGAAACGAGCAATATCTTTTGGTAGAGCCTGTCATCAAGTAGGTGCTTAATGGCTATCTGCAAGAGGTTTATAGGAAAAAACACCCAGTATCGTATATCAATTGAAGAAGATGATATAAACATGAATAAGAAATCAACAATAGTAATTAAAACATGAATTTTATTCAAAAATCCAACATTTCTTAAAATTTTGACTGAATTATATGTAATTTCTTAATATTCAATAAGCTGGTGATGTTTCAATGACAAGCTGTCATCTCATACTTTGACAGCGTTTTGTTTTCAACATTTCATAGCTATTGGTTGGTAAAATTTGTTGATTGGAACTTGAAGCTCATTCGTTCTATTTGACGGTCTGTTACCCTATAGGTGGAGAATAACAGACTGTTGTTGGTAAAGTTGGCCCTTAGACTTTTTTTATGGGGCTATTTGAAGCAAAAAGTGTACGAAATTGAACCTGCTTCAATATTGGATATACGGCTGAGAATAACAAATATTTGTAGAAATATCGATGTTACTATGTTTGAAAATGTTTGACGCGACCAGCTGTTTTCATATAATTTTTTTCCAAGATGGCGCCCAGCGACCATCTTGACATTTTCATCTGTCAATGTTACTCTAAAATATGGTATCCACGCATCAATTTTATTACCTCAAATTTTAATTTTTTGAAATGGTCCGTTCAAAAAATCAAAGGGGAGGTGACATTGAAGAAAAGCACTGTATATGTCTAAAGCACTAATAAGCTTCATCCAGGCAAATACTATACCGTGCTTTCATTAGGTGATAGGGATGCCAGTCGATAATAGCCGATTATAGAGAATGATATTAACTCAGATATTTCAAAAAAGCATGCTTTTGTTGACTGCATAGAATCTGTTTGCCATCCGTCCCTGTGTCCATAAACAACGGTGTTCCATGCCTTTAACAATTATCAGTACGGTATAGGTCTAGTCATTTCGAGCAGATAACCAATAAATCAGAGAGAGATAAGACGCGCACCCAAAATCATGGCGTCCACAAAACAGCTGACGACGTCTAAAGACTTGCTATTCTTATTTGGTCAGAGATCAATGCCGTATTGCCAGATAGATAATTCTTTTTTGGATGAATTCCTTGCCTGTCACTCGTAGTGAAAGCATTTTTTGTTCTATTTTACTTTTGTTTGAATAGTTATGCCTACAAAATATATATTTTCCATTGAGTACAGGTATTAATCACACACGTAAGTGCTCTCTATCTCATGTAAACAGAAGTTATTCTTAAAACATGTATGTTATCAGTTCGCTATATAACTATTCAGTTTAGTAACAAAAGTAGAATGTCAGCTTGAAATTCAGCTTTTTTATAACCTCAAATTGCTTATTTGACGAATCGTCGGTGTATTTGACTTGGTTGCTAGTTATATAGACGGGCTGGACTTTAGACGATATGTTTACTTATTCCGCAAGAATTTTTGGTGTAACCATGAAAGATCGTGGAAAGAACAGAACTCTATGTAGCTCAGTCATCACCTATAAGCGAATCACCTTGGCAGAATGTTCAGTATCTATGAGCGAATCGTCAAGCCAAGGACCGAACCCAAAACTTTTGGTCTGAACGCTTAAGACGTGACATTTGAAACTTCTCCTGTGGTTTTTATGTAGATAATTCTTCTTTAAAGTATCAATACTTGATCATGTAACCAAAAATTTGCTGTCGACTTCCCTTCTATAATGCAGGAGAAACCCAAGATCAATGCCAGCTAGTCATTGGTATTGTTATGAGCAAAGAGGTAACACTGCCATCTATGATAGATGGAAATTAGTTTTACGGCATATCTGACTGAGATCCCAGTCCAATGAACCCTATTTCACGAGTATCCATCACGGTAGAATGACAGCTGATTTTCTAGTCAAAATTCCCTATTTCGGCACATGGCACATAATTCTAACGGATCCATCAACGCCAAGTAGACATAGCTGAATTTTGTTTTGTTTTTTTTTGTACGCTACAGATTCATTTTGTACTTGCTAACAGCTATTTTATTTAGAAAAGTTCATTTTCATACAAAAAACAAAACGCCACAAACTAGTTTATACCTGACCCATTATTGCCAACGTTGCATACTAATACAAAAATGTCACTTGCTGATCAGCTGTTCACCTCAGTAAATGTCAAAGCGTGATGGATACTCGCGAAATATGGTACAGGTAAGTGTCGCCAACCGCTACAGACTACTCAAGAATCTGGGGATGTTCAGCCTGTGTTTAGTTCATACAACTTTTGCATAGCATGTCAAAGCTGATAGCATGATGAGCACTAAGTTCTGCCTATGTGACCGGCGACATTTGTCCGGTTCATTGAAGTGGGCTGTCAATCAAATATGCCGGATAACTAGAATTACAAGAAGTGTTTCTAGGCATCTACATATACCATAAAAAACTTATTTTATACTGTCATGTCACGGCTTTATTACGACATCTCGTCATTTGGCATTACAATATACCACCCCACACCTTCACTGATATAACTCGACGGTTCACCAAAAAAACTTTCAGCCTTTGTTGAGTGAAGCCCAATTAATAAATAAGGGACCCCTCTTGAACAGATCTTTGGCCAAAAAAAGCGAACTGAATTTTCCAGCAGTCCCCTATCTCTGTTTGTTAAACCGTAGTATAGCTAAAATAAATGAAACAACTACTGGTGATTCATAGGCACGCCAGTGTATAGAGGCAGATCGGCTTACAATCACAAATTCATATTAGAGTTGTTCAGGTTGCCAAGTTAAATAGTTTTTCGGATTGTTCTGAAACAGATTTTGCATTTTTCATATTAGAACTGCAATTGTTATTCTCACACGATTTACCTGTAGCAAATAACTTGTGCATAGGCTACAAGAGCGAAGCTCTAATACACATTCTATGGCTGCTGCAGTTGCGATAAGTAGATGTGATGGACCAGTGAACCACCAGTATAATAGTCTGCTAGTAGAACATCTTAGATAACAATCAGGTATGAAACTCTCCTGTCTCTGTCAAAAACAGATATCATTGCGGCGGAGAAAGTCGAATAAAAATTCCCCTAGTAGAAAGATGAAAGAGGTTTTGGTACTCGGAAGCAATCGGTGTTGCCACATACTGCCAGCGACCGCAGATATTATTGGGAATCGCAATAATTATACTACTTCGATATGTGATCTGGTGTATGTGTGAACCAATAATAAAAAGGAATATGTTTGTCCAAAAGGAAGCGACGAAGTATTGATGAGTCTTTATTTATCAAAAAGCTTTAAAATAAATTCGTATTGGTGGAAGAATTTACAATACGCAGATAAATATTTACTTTTGCCATGCATTCTTTGCTGCTGCGATATTCTCAATCCGTTTCATTTTCAATGTAAACACTGTTAAAACACCGCAGAACTTCTGTCGACTCCTCGGCTAGGATGTTTCTACATAGACGGCGCGTTCTTGATGTGTACGAAGACGGTAGTTCCGATACTTTAAGCACCTAGTGAAGATAGTTATTGAACTTGTAGGCAACTATACGCTCCTTACAAAATATGCCACAGGATGATTCATAATTTCATGATAACATCACATACATTTTTTCAAACAAATTTGCTTAGAATGAGCGAAGAATACAAAATTATTTGTGCAAAATGATTTGGTTTTACTGATGAACAATGGTTCGTAAATCTCTCATTTGAATGTTCAAATGCACTTCGCTTCAAAGACACCGAAATTGAGTGAAGGTTGTATTTGTCTGGTGTTTTAGCTCTGCTTACCTTGAAAATGCAATGGATTGGTCATATCGCAGCAGCGTAGAGCACATACCAAAAGTAAATATTTTTCCGTTTATTACAAATACTTCCACAACTTTTTCATAAATAAATAGTCAACCGTCGCTTCTTTTTGGATGAACATTCACTTTTTATTATTGATTCACGCTGAATACTAAAACCTCAATTTTCTAGGGGAGGTCACATGCGATTTTCTCCGGCTAAATGGCTCCCGTTTTTGACACTGCAGGAGAGTTTCATAGCTGATTGTGATCTAAGCTGTGCTAGTAGTTAACGTAAAATAAAACTGGTGATAAAATACTGTAGGTACTTTAGCACGGTAGTATAGTATAGCGCGACGTTTAGAGAGTGACCAGTTTCCGGGATTTAGTAAAAGATATGTCTAAATCATAAATCACGAATATCACTGAATACCGAAACAAGCGAAACGTAATTATGACTCCGGCAACTAGTATTTGGTAGTTCACTTCATGCGATTTTGTTGCGGTATTTTGTTCAGGATATCATTATACTCATAACATCTTGTTCTGGATTAATCAGCTCGTGATAAATTAGTCTGCTGCCCAAACTATATGCACTCTCAATAATCACAGTGCAATTGCATAATTATGCGTCTTAATCAAGATTCACCAGAATTATCACGTTCCAATCACGGTGTGATCTCTTCCCAACGTCGCGACAGATCAGCGAAAAGTCTCCCATCTCATCGTGATTTGAACGTCGAGATCACGTCACATTTTTAAACTAGCGATATAAAAAGGTAACGATATGGGATATCAGTCGTCAAGTCAAGTCATCGTTGGTTGTCAGAGCGGTCCGTGGGACCTTAGCTCTTGAGTCACAGTGTCAGTTTGTAAGTCTGTCAGGTCTGGTAACCCAGAAACCAGACAATTTTAAGGAAAAAAGGAGAAGGAAAGGAGAGAAGGAAGAACGAGAGCAAAGGGGAAGAAGAGAATCTTTTAGGATATGCAGCGTTTAGGCATTGTTAAAATCGCTTCACAGATTTTGATATGGTCTAAAAATATTTGGTTTTTTCTAAAGATTGTGTAAAAATGCTCCAATTTTGGTTGTTCTAAGTTCACGAGTTAATTTTGATTACAGTGCGAGCCGCGGCCTTTTGTGTTTGCGAACTTGCTCGACTGTGTAGTCCACTGACTCACGCAACAGAGGGTTGCTGTGCGATTCCGCTAGGCTATAGCGCCGCTGCGCCTGTTGCTTAATGTAGTCCTTTAGGTAAGGGACATCGAGGTCTCTATGTAGAGTTTCGTTAGAGACATACCATGGGGCATCAGCAATAGTGCGCAACGTCCTGCTTTGCAGAACCTGCAGACTTTGCATGTGTGTTTTAGCAATAAAACACCAAGCCGCACATGCGTATGTCATTGCTGGTCTTATGACCACCTTATAGAGTCGAATCTTGTTAATCAAACTTAATTTTGACCGTTTACATAATAATGGGTAAAGCTGCCGAAACGTAATTTGGAATTTAGTTTTTAGCGCTTCCATATGGTTCCGCCAAGTCATCCCTTTGTCCAGAATGACACCGAGATACTTAGCGGAGGATTCCCATGGTATACGAAGTCCATTCATTGAAACTTCAGACGGAACGCCGCGACGTCTTTTTGTACAGTAGATTGCCTGCGTTTTCGAATGGTTTATTTTAATTAGCCACCGATCCGCCCAATCTAATACTTCTTCCACCGCACTTTGCAGCCTGTCATGGACTAGGTCACCAGACCACGACTGAGCCACCAATGCAGTATCGTCAGCATAGAGATAGACTTCACAGTTGCTGGGACTAGGGACGTCATGGATGTACAGTGAGTAAAGGATAGGTCCAAGGACCGAACCCTGAGAGGCGCCGGCTGTAATCAGCCGTGTTGTCGACAGCACATTGTCAATTTTGATCCGAAATTTCCTACCTTCAAGGAAGGATTTCAGTAGTTTTAGAAGCCAAAAAGGGAAGCCCTTTTGGATTAGTTTATACAAGAGGCCCGCGTGCCACACCTTGTCAAATGCTTTTGAGACATCCAAAAGCAAGATGCCAGTACTTTCGTTAAGGGTGAATCCTCTGGTTACACGTTCCACCAGCCTAACCGCCTGTAGCTCCGTACTATGTTCAGACCGAAAACCGAATTGCACGTCAGGAATCACATGGTGATCTGACGAGAAATTCTCAAGGTGACGTAGAATCACCTTTTCAGCGAGCTTAGACGCAGCTGACAGCAGGCTAATGGGACGCTAATCCTGGGGAAATATCGAACCCACCTTCTTTGGAATCATTATAACTTCAGCGGTCTTCCACGCGGATGGGAAGTACTGGATCCTCAGCATGGCATTGACTATTGCCACGAGATAAGTTAAGGACTTCCGCGAAAGCAGCTTCAGCGCCTTATTAGTGAATTGATCCTCCCCAGGTGCTTTACGCACTTTAAGGTCTTTAATATGACCTTGAATCTCTGCTGGTGTGCACCGCGGGATCTCAGGAGATACCGCTGATGTACTAAGCAAATCTTCGGTTGAAGAAGCTTCTGAAGAAGAATCTTCTGATGAAGAAAAATCACCAACGAATGCGCGACTGTCACTGACGCCGTTGGCCCTAAAATATCTCCTGACAGATCTTACGATGTGTTGCTCCTCGTCGAGGTCATTATCAAGATCATAGTTGGGAGAGAACTGTCTTTCCATGGCATCGGCGAAAACCTCAACCTTCTCCTCTGTCCTGAAGACAATGCCTCCAGGACCGTGAATGTGTGGGATTTGTTCACGCTTTCCGTTTTTGAGCGACTTCGCCACCTTCCAGAGAGGAATGCTTGAGTCAAGCATCCCCGCCAGAAAGTCGTTCCATTGCTCATTGCGGAATTCATGAAGAGCATTTCTTACTTCATGAACAAGATTCGTCGCTCTGCGAATGTCATCAGGATGACAAGACCTTTTCGCTTGCTTAATTGCAGCTCTTTTATCAGAAATTTTCTGACGAATGTCTGCTGGCAGAAAAGGTCTGCCGTGTCGCTGCACGGGAAGTACAGCTGCACGCTGCAGAGTTTGCTGAACAAAACTTGTCCACTCTGCTTGAGCCGCATCTATACCGTTCTCATCATCTATGATCGGTATATTGGGGAACTCTTTGAGGAGCGACTTGTATAGCTCCCAATCAATGCGTTTCCTTGGAGGGATTTCATCTCCCAAGATCTGCTCATTAGCCACTTCCAAAACGACGGGAAGATGATCGCTTGAGATGTCATACATGATTCGAGAAGTGATGCTGTAGCTACAGTTTTTGGATAAAGCCAAATTAAGAACATCAGGTGCCTGAAGGTGATTAAATGGGTGGTGCGTCGGCTCCTCAGTACTATGTATGAGGTAGCCATTTCGTATCACATGGTTGTACAGTCGGATCCCACTGGTGGAATTCAACCTGGAATGCCATGCTCGATGTTTGCAGTTGAAGTCCCCTGCCACAATAAGTGGACCCGAGTAGTCTAAAAGGACTTCCAGATCCGCCTCTTGCAGCCTGTTACCACACCTGACATACACCGATGTGATTTTTAACGGCACACCTCCCGTCATATTGACCACCACGGAAGCCGCTTCGATGCTCTGCATGTCAGCGTTTGTGCTTCTGTGGTAGTCAATACCGCGTTTCACTAGCACTGGGATATCAGTCGTATCCGTGTCATACAGATTTTTATCACAACCCTAATAACACCTAGATGTGAAGGAATATTTCAATTACAGACATGTGGAGTCTAAAAATCCAAACATTTTATCCAATACACATGACAACACAGCATTAAGCACTCGATTATCCGGTTCTCAAACGTTGTGTCCTAATTCGCACGTTACGCAGTTTTTCAGCGGATCTAGGATACAGTCGGTAAACCTGATAATTAATCTATTATGTTTGTCAGTTGATCTCGCTTTGTCATTGTTTAGCGTTGTTTATCTGAATTAATTTCGGAAATTCACATACCACCATTATAACGGGTGATTTTTTAAGAGGTATAGGATTTGATTTTCAAAAAAAAACAAAAAATTTGAAAAAACGATTAAATCTTTATTTGAGTTGATAGAACGGTCGATACAATTTAATGTTTAAAGATTATTTCATGTAAATGTTGGCCGCGGCTCCGCTTTAGATGGCCCATGCGCAAGGTCCAATTTTGGCACACTCTACTCTCCAACATATCGGCCGGTATCTCACGAATAAATGCTTCAATATTGTAGACATTAGCCTTAACATGGCCCCACAAGAAATAGTCCAACGGCGTTAAATCACACGATCTAGGCGGCCACTTGACGGGCCCCAAACGTGAGATAAACTGTTAACCGAACTCGCCTCTCAATAGGGCCATTGTTTCGTGTGCGGTGTGGCATGTGGCACCGTCTTGTTGAAACCACATGTCAGCCAAGTCCAGTTGTTCCATTTTGGGCAAAAAAAAGTTTGTTATCATCGCACGGTAGCGCTCGCCATACACAGTTACGTTCCGGCCATTGTCGTCTTTGAAGAAGTACGGCCCGATGATGCCACCGGCACAATGACACAAGACACGATTCACGCGTCATCTGTCAAAAACAGTGTTGCCAAAAAGATACTAGCAAAAAATCAAAAAATCACCCATTATATTTTCTTCACCGTGTGCCACTTGATTTCATTACATAATTTTCTTCGGTCTGTCTTTACGGGAATAAAATTTTAGTCAATTTTTGGAAACAAAATAAGATAGTTCATAATATATTCCACGAGTCAGTGACGAGTCCGAAGTTTAATTTTTGGCCATCGTAGCCGATGTTCGGCTTTTATCACAACGTTCAGCTAAAACCCAAGCGGAATGTTTGGTTAATCAAAAGTGTGGGTGGTACTATAAGAATAAGGTGCCAGTACAACGAGCGCTTGTGCCCTTGCTTCAGTTTATTGTAACTGCGGCTTTAATGCATTATTGAGGTGCTTGTTAAAATTAGGTAAGACGTGATGAATGGATGATGCTGAGCACGTAATTTCAGTAAGATTTCTTACATTTAGACTAACAAGTGGACCTGCTAGAAAATAATGTGCGTTAAGATTAAGTGGATACAGTGGTTTTTGGAACATCGTCGGCTCTTACAAAAAAGGTAAATAAGCGATAGTTGTTTTGTAGCTACAATTGGCATTTGACCATCTGACAATACGTGTGAAGAGCTACTGAGATCTGTTCATTATGCCGAGATTGAGGAGACTAAGAAGTCTTCAACAGCATAGCGACTTTGATAGTGGACGAATAGTGGACTTGTATGAGATTGATTCGTTTTTTGGAGAAATAGTTACCGTGGTGGACGGAAGTCTAAATGCAGTGGTAGTTTGTTGTCGGGCATGGAGTCAGGGCGTATCAGGAAAACGGGCCCACAACAAGATCGCCGTCTTAGGCTCTTGGATCTACGAAAAGGTCAATTACGAACCTATGGCTTAGAGGGCATGGAAAGCCTATTACAATGCGAAATCTTTATCACTGTATCAATAGCCTTGGACTTACTTTATATCGACCTCAGCATGTCCTGCCTCTCACTATTAGGCCTGATGCAGAGAACGGCTTAACTGGGACCTCGTATGGAATACCATTGCCTTAAGTGATGAATTTAGATTCTGTTTGAAGATGCACGGATGCGTAAAAGGGTGCGAAGGCGACACTCGAATCGTTTTACATTTTGGCAATTAAATAAATAGAATATATTTCAGTGATACTAGTGAAGCCTTTTTGACGAACACTAATTGATGTACCGACAGTTCTAAACCAACAGATATAGCTTTTCTATGTTCGGATGCTTATCCTGCAAGATTGAACATCTGTATATAGTACCTAGAATCTACAGAATATTTCGGAATACCTAATCGGTTTTGACAATGAAACATTGAGTAAGCACCCATATTTGTACGTGTTTTACTTGTCTCTAAATTCGCTGCCCAATGCTAAATGAACTTTCACTCCTACAGTATGCAAAATTGGTCGTTAGTATAGTTTCTTCTAAACAAAAAAAGGCCGACGGCTGTATTTGTTGCCAATACCATATCCCTACGATGGATGTCTTTTAAGTTTTGCATATAGAAACATGGTAGGCCGCGCGGATCGAACGTCAGTACTAAATCATAACCTCACTCTTTAGTAAACTTAAATTCAAAGTTTCACAACAATACGTGCAGTGTTCTCAACTACAGTGAATTTTTAAGTGTCACCAAGTCATTAGAAAAATGGAACTCAACCGAGAACATTTTCGCGCCTTATTTTATTACAACTTTCTGAGACAATTATCGCAACAAGAATGCCTTGCTGAGTTACGGTCTGTTTTCGGAAACGAAGCGCCACATCAGTCGACAATTTCCCGTTGGTATGGAGAATTCAAACGTGGACGGGTGATTCTTAGCGACGATCCCAGGGTGGGTGCACCAAAAACGGCAGTCATCCAGGAAAACGTCGATGCTGTGCGCAAACTCATCATTGAAGATAGACATGTGACATATCCCGAGATTGAGGCATCCTTGAAGATCTCAAAGACCTCAATTCAAAAAGTTTTACGTGAAGAATTAGGAGTAAGAAAATTAGTTTCTCGTTGGATACCCCACCTGTTGACTGAAGAGCAGAAAGCAGCCAGGGTTATTTGGTGTCAAAAAACGCTGGACCGTTTCAATTCCGGAAACTCAAAAAATGTTAGTGGTGATGAATCATGGATTCACTGTTGTGAACCAGAAAATAAACGACAGTCGGCTGTTTTTGTGTTCCAAGGTGAATAAAAGCCAACAAAAGTCATCGAAGTGTTTTGAAAAAGATGGTCGCGACATTTGTGTCAAAAGCGGGTCATATTGCAACAATTCCTTAATGAGCAAAGAACTGTTACTGCGGATTGGTATACCACCATTTGTTTGCCAAAAGTCATCACCGAGCTTCGAAAAATCAACCCCGAAAGAAGAATCATCCTTCACCAAGACAATACAAGCTCGCACACAGCCCAAAAACAAGGCAGTATTTAACGGAAGAAAACGTGAAATTATTGGACCATCCTCCATATAGTCCCGATCTAAGTCCTAACGATTTCTTTACTTTCCCGAAAATTAGAAACAGACTGCGTGGTCAAAGGTTCCAGTCACCAGAAGAAGCAGTTGACGCATTCAAAAATGCCGTTTTGGATCTGCCAGCAAACAAGTCAAATAAGTGCTTCAAAAATTGGTTCGAGCGCATGCAGATGTGTATTAATCTTCATGGAGAATACTTCGAAAAACAATAAAGTCATTTAAAGCTACCTACTGTGTTGTTTTATTTCCATATGCAAGACTTAAAAGATATCCCTCGAAATGTCTTTGAATGATTGAAACAATACTGTAATGTTCTAAGACAGATCCACCACATATTTGGTTGATTCAGATAGTGACTTCTTGTTTTAATTCTCTTCTGAATTAGAAATTCTTCAGGGATGGCAATGTTACTGTAAACATGACAACAACATTCATTAGGTTAGTTTAGATTATCCCAGCTCTGTGCTTCCACTCACTAAAGTTCGAGAGCAACATCAGTGAATCAGTAAAAGTTCTACTCGGAAAATTGTTACACATAATTGCGGGATGGCCGTATGTGCACTCACTCCGCGTGTGTGTTTTTTTTAACTGGAGGACACTCATAGTTGGTGTGCTTATATTAAACTACAAGCACTAAAACAGGACT